CGCAGCATTCACTAATTTCGATCATATTTATTCCTTTTCCAAATTGATATTCTTGAAAATGATTCGACACATAATATTTTAGATTCTGAAGTGAATGAAAAACTGCCTACAGATCTTGCTTCCAATATTATTATTTTAATAATAATGACGTGAAAATGTGCACATCAGCAATAAGCGATATTGTTCGAGAAATGGCAAATAACGGAAACATTAATTTCAATTAACTATACAGAAAATGAAAATCAAGTTAGATACAAGGAAAAATGGTGAAGATCAGAGAGCATGATCACAATAAAAAAAGACCCGACAACTGCAGAATTCAACAGAACTCGTCTTCAGTGGTTCGTTTACATGGCATTCCATATGTACAACGCCAACCCAGGTTTCTTCTATCATAATGAGCATCTTCTGGAAGATTTGTTTTTAACTTTTCATCTTTAGTAAACCCTAAGTTTATAAGGTATGAAAAGTGTAATAATAATTTCAAAATAATATACAATATCCAGATCAAAGCAAAAATTTTTGAATCCTCCTCCTTAATAATTTAATCTATTTGTTCTAAGGGAACTTCCTCGCTCCAAATTTTCAGCAGTTTTTCTCAACAAGGCAGTCACTGAAAAAAAAGTGCAATTTGACTAAAGTTCATAATGACTCTAAACTCTGTTTGAAAATGACAGAATTTTGCGTGAGAGAATTTTGTAAAGCATTGGATATGTTCCTGCTGCCCACGAAAAAATCACAACTATCCCAAAACACTCCAGAGATAACTGGATCAAATCTCATTTTTTTTGTGCCTTCAGTAGAAAAATAGAGTACTGACTATTTCATTAATTATTGATCAATTTGCAAGCACAATGGAGAGTGGTTCCCGCTTAAGAATTAGTAAGGTAAGATCAACATGATAACAAAATACATTAACTCCAAAAACTGCACAAAAGTTATTTGCTCATCAAATTCAAAATTCAAACCAAAAACTTGAGCATTCGTAATTGAAAAAAATCAATAATGAATAATAATACTATGATGTAACTTAAGAAGTTTCACATCTACACTTTTGATAGTCATTTCTTGCTTGCTAGAAAAAAAAAAACCTGCACCACATAGGAAAAGAGGATATGAAAAGTCTTCGTGATAATATATATATCAGCAAATGAATTCATAAATTCAAAAAATAATACTATTGCGAAAAAGAAGTATCATTCAATACGACAGCTGAAATTAATTGAGAAGTTGAAAAAAAAAAAATGAAACAAGCAGATGGAAAAAATGAGGTAGGATATAGAATAAATCGAATCAAGTTTCTACTAAATAAAAAGCTGTATACAAATATTTCAGAAAAAAGTATATCTCGCTGGTTTTATGCTGAAACCGTAAATAAGACCAGATTTCTATTGAAATTATTACCATTAAATGTAAAAAACGTAACATGAGGAAGGTGCAGATAGAAATCATCCATAAAATTTGTATAATTTAAACTTGAATTTCTAGAAGGCACATTTCTGGATACTACACTATGATTCCTCGCCGACCTCAAGTTTTGGACTGGATTTTTCTTCCTTAATGAACATCTGCAGCGAGCTGGGAGTAACATTCTCGGCAGCTAATACTTCCTGCTTGATATCACAAAGGAGCACTGCTTCTGCATGCTCGTTGGCTGTAATCATCATACTGGCCGCGGATGCTGCAGCTGCCGTGGAAAGTAAACTTAATGGATTATCAGGTTTTGGTGTTGATGGCGTACTCCGTGATGTATGCGCACGTTGAGGCCTGCGTCGATAGAATTCCGAGTCATCTACTGTCCATACGGCACCTTTCACATTCTGTTCAACCCGTGCAAAACATTTATGTAACGACAAATTATGCCTCACTGCATTCTGCAAATTCTAATTTAAAATTTATGGAAATTTTCACTGTTATTTCACAGTTCTAAAATAAACTTCCACTGTATTTCTTGGCTTCATTTTTTAAGTAAAACTAAAAAAACATATTTAACTATGACGACAGTTTAAAAAGTAGACAATGCTATATTTCTTACAAAAATTTGCATGAGTCTGATCTAACAAACTGCTCAAACATCAATGAAATAATTTATTATGCTTAGAGAAGAGGTAAATAGAGAACAATTGCTTCGGTCTTATTTAATCAGATCTTATTTCACAACTACAAGATCTGAAGTTACAAATTTTCTAAACTAGAATTTTATGACATATGGTAAAAATGAACCATTACAGTATCACCTTCCAAGTTGCAGCATTCCTCCGAAAATATGCAAACGTTTCCGTGAACCATTGATAAATTTCGTTAAGCGTTAATTGACAATCCTTGGATTCCATGATGGCTTCGCGTATCAGAGATGCATATGTATATGGTGGACGTACATCATGTGTTCGATAAAATTCGCGATTTCTTGCAATATCGGTTGAAATATGTAAAACAACCTTGTCGTTGATTTTCCGCCGTGGTGTTGGAGTTGTACGATGATGATGTTGCTGTTGTTGTTGCTGTTGCTGTTGTTCTTGCTGCTGCTGTTGTGAACCCTCAACGTTTGAGACACTTGGTAATGACAACGCCGAGATCGTCTGTTGCTAAAGAAAAAATTCTGGTTAGACTAATAAAGCGACTTTTTATTCGTTTCTAAATTTCGCTCTGCATCTTTCATCCAATATTAATAATGCTCAATTAATGGTAAATTCAACTAAAAAGAAAAAAAGCACAGTACTTTCTGCCAAATCTTGGTTAATTCTATTAAATAAAACTTGAACGCATACGAAAAAGTTACAAAACTTCACCCATATATCTTACTAAACACCAACTCGTAGCTCTCCACCAATATCCTTTTCCCGTCTAACGTTACGGAAAACCATTATCCTCTACATTTACTTACCTGTCAAATAATTTGCAGATTCTTACCTTCTTATTGCTGGAGTGAAACTAAAAAGATGAAAAATTCCGGAGTATTCTCTGAGTTTAATGCAACTGTGCCACGAACAAACCTTTTTCCACAATTAATGTGAAATTAAAAATTGTACTTGACTTCATATTACTCAACCTAATGGCAACAGAATCCAACCATTTCAATCCCTGAATTAACAACACCACGAACAAGTGTCGAAAATATCAGCGAAAGGATTCGATTCGTATATTTCAGAAAGGATAAGTATCTATAAAGTTTAGATGACCAACCTGATCGGGTAGGGATTCAGTTTTTGGTTCTGCAAGTGTTGGTGATGGAATGGAAGTTGAATCTTGTGACTGTTGTAACGTGCCTAAGGTTGGCGTGGTAGTATCAGGTGACTGTTTCATATGTAAATGTTGCATCATAGCTTGCAGACGAGTACGTTCCCTGTTAAGCCTATGCTCCAAGTTATCCACTATCTCGATTTGAGCACGACATTGCTGAGCGGATCTTTCATCGAGCGTATGAACCGTCGCCAAATGATGTAAAAATGTGGCGAAATTTTCGCATGGTTGGTCACACTGTGGCCAAGTGCAAAGGTTATGCTGAAGATGAGAAAAATTGAAATTAGATAGAAAAAAGTGAAGTTCATAACCTTGAAAAAAAAGTGCAAAATATGATGAAATGATAAAAAAATTTGTTCTAACGCAGCCACCAGTACGTCAAACAATTTTGACACTGTCCCATACAATTCATGATTGTTAAGTATTCCCTTCTTATTACATCATTTTTTAGCATGTTTGAAGAGCTTGATAAATTTATCTATCCTACTTCCAATTACCCTATCTCATTAGTTTACATTACGATAAAACATTCAAGTTTTCGTAAATATCTTCTTTTGTAATCTATACTGACATATAATAGACCTTAAGTAAACAATCATCACGTTCACTTATAGCAATTAATAAACAAAATGACCACTGTGTAGCTTCTGCAACATATTCATTTAAATGTCACATTCTGTGGCATCGATTTATGAAAGTTTATTCATAATGATTCGTGTGGATTTCTACATGCAGATATTTTTGTGGATTTCTACATGCAGATAGTTTTGAAAGAAAGATTCGTAATATGATTTCACAAGTACAGCAAGAGAGTAGAATCTATCCCGGCAATTGAAAAGGGTTAATGAGTGAGAACGGATGAATATGTCAAGAGTAATAAAAATGTTATGTAATCGGATAATGAAATGAAATGAAACAAGAAACACAAACGTTACATAAACTTTTTCGTTTTAAGATAAACTCGTTAATCAATTTTCTCTTCGCCTTTTTGCGTATCCCTTTCTATCATTTCCCATGCTGATATTTGGACTGAATCTCTGTCTTTCAATGAATGTAAAATGACACGTACAGAACTTAGAATATTTGTTTCTGAATTTTATTTTTCAGAATTTCATTTCCACCTAATTCAGATAAAAAATTTATGAAATTGTCTTAAAATTCTGAGACCTGCGAAAGTAAAGCTCGAAAATTTGATTTTCCACATGCAAACTATTAAAAATTTCAACGTAATCACAAAACATGAAATACATGATTGCGCATAGGTATCCAGGAAAGTGAGTATGAATCCCTGAACTATAGATTAAGCAAGAAAGTTCTCCTTTCTGATCATCCCACGATTTTTGGCAATTTCGTTTCTAATAGAAGCATAACTGAGGATGTAGGATGACGTATAAACAATTTTTATAATACAAATAAAGGCCACAAAAAAAGGGAAGTAATTTACTTGGGTATTCAGTCAATTTTTTCTCTACAAATGCTTCCTTCCGGAGAATAATCAAACCAAATGAAAAATGAAACTTTAATAAAGCTGTAAATACATATTTTGCTAATGATTGTTTCCCCATGTTTTTTCTTCATTTGTAGTAACATAATCAGTCAGGTTGATTATTAAATGAGTCCCATAGGTCTCATTGTTGATAGAGAATCTTGCAATAGTAACTGCTAAGGTGTTAGACATGTTAGGGGAAAAATGAAGGCAATGTTTATAAAATTGTTTTTTTCATATTATTTCGTCTGCAGCAAAGCAAACAAACTGCTGCCTCCCACTTCTCTTACCTTACATTTTAGTCAACAAAGGCCATAAAAAACTGCAGTGACAGAGACGAGTTGGATAATTTGGGAAGGGAAATGCTTATGATGAGCGGAGTTGACGCCTCGAGGCAAGAAAAGAGGAAAATACAAAATATGTTGAGACCGCGAACTGATATGAAAATAAACTATGCAGCATTCGGCAATACTGACAATTCAGGATGCAGGGTGAACAGGCTATTCTCTCATACTGTTTATCATTCATTTCTTCCAGCCTTTTAAGTTTTTGTTCTTTTTTACGTCCAACGATTATTGACGTCAACAACAATTTCAACTGTTGCAAGATTAATTCAAAAATTTCTTTGTAAATTCCAAAATCACAAAATGAAACATCACATAACTTAGTAATAAGAGTCCAGGCCGTGACATTTAGCCAAGTAATAAGAGTCCGGGCCGTAACATTTAGTCATCTTGTGGACTCTTTAAATCTAAAAATCCACAAATCAAATGAAAACAAAGATGAATGGATGTTGTAAAGTAATGAACAATGATAAATTCTGTGAAAATCTTAACCGCTACGCAATCGATTGCATCGACATCGAAGTCGTTAATTTACAAACTATTCGAAAGTTGAAGGCAGATGAAAAACACTGATGAAGTAGCTGTTTTTAACAAATTATTTTTGCTCAATGCCAGAAAAAAACAAATATAGAAATTTGTGGATAAGAAAAGAACGTACATTTAAATATTCCTTAGTTATCAAATGTAGTATTAAATAGTTAATTCCATGCTCCCAAACAAACACGATTTGGGCACCCAATACCGATAAAAATGAATTACTTCTCTTCTGACAACGACAGTGGTCATTAAATAAGCAGCGCAGTAACTAATATATTCATGTACTAATACGATAAAAACATTTCCCGTATTACTATCCGTCTAACATATATATTATAGTGATAACATCAGTTAATGATTGCACGTTGCATATTTAAATTACACTTCCAATAAGCAAAATTAGCTTTCTAATTCTATTTTTTATTATTATAGAAAAGTAAAACAAAGGACTAAAGTAAATTTTTTTTTTTCTGAAAACGATGTGGCGTGAAATTCATAGTACATTCTCCCACTTTTTTCATCTCTCTCACACGATAACTTACTCAATTATCTCTGAGCTACACACCTTCTACCATACTAATAACGGGTTATATTGCAGTACCTTTTCAAACCTGCATTTGCCTGTTTTTCTAAAAGTAAACTCTTCCTGTTTTGCAGCTTTTCTGTCCTCTTCTAATAAAACACATAATATGCGCACTACTACAACAGCTCGGTTCTTCCCACAATTTTCCGAATACTTTCATCACCATAACTTTCACTAATATCATCATATAACTGTCATTTACTACCATTATAACACACTCTCATCATTTCTATCATTTAATATTATTATCATTCGTACTAATACCATCACTTCTCTTATACCATACTATCATTCCATTATTGCTAATAAAAGTTGCCATTGTTACTGCTAACATCACTACTACCAACATCGTAATGCTATAATGCTAAGTTCTGAGAGGAGGATGAAATCCCATAAACGGAAATGCTAGGAAAGGATTGGTAACGAAGTTTGTGTCTCAACTCGTCAACACATCTGAAAAAAAAATATGGTCAGGATGATAAATTCCAGCAAAAGTGAGGAACAAATGTTTACGAGTTTTAGAATGAGAAGATGGTGAAGTATAGAGGTGTGAGAGAAAGAAGAAAGGGAGGAGGCGCACTACAAAAAGAGGAAAGGATTAACCTCTTCTGTGTGTAAAATGTGTATATATTTCACAATCGAAGCGCTTGTTTACTTCAATTACACCATTTCTCCTCTTCATATGTTTACTGATCAACTGAAGACAATCCCTATGCGTCCATATGATAAACAATAACCGTTCGACCCCTTCTCTATCTTCATAACCTTTTTCCTTTACCCTTAAAATATGAGAGAATGTTGTGCTATTTGTCCCAGCAATATGTTGAAATGTTAAATTATGCCACCATAATACTTCATCCCTACATCTTCGCTCCTTTGCTCCCAATCCAATCATATCCGATGGACATCAATGTCATTTCTATTGATGACATAAAATTTCATATCTAATTACTACGTACTAAGAGTACAAACAAATTGTACAAATTTATAGAGTCCAACAGTTTATTCGATGATAAAAAGTAAATCAATTATGATACAATTTCTTTTTTTTCTTCCTAATTATAACACAATTGTAGAATACAGAATGTTTCTTGGATTATGTGAGTGTGACACAATACTCACATTCTTATTATAAAAATATGCATGAATAAATACGGTTACACTCATTTCAAAATTAACCTCAACTTCAAACAAACGCTATTTAGAGGAAGTTATGAAATGTTTATCTGGTGATATTACAATTTAGCTTTAAAAGATGTTTAAACGAAAAAGATAACAACTTCCCTCTATTTAGCTTGTGATTTGGGACAAATTTAGACTCTGCTTTACTTATACTGGTATATTGAAATTAGAAAGTGAGGCAATGAATTCTATATAAAAATATATGCAGGCAATGAATTCGACACAAAATTCTCATTGCGCTTCATGTTCTGAAATCACTTTTGGGGAAAAAATATTGTAAGACGAAAACCTGAATTCTTCAAAAATCTAAATTTCACTCCCTTAAATTTAAGTTTCTCAATACTAAATCAAACGTTGAGGTCATGCTGTGTGACATATATCACCATTCATTCCATCAAAATATTTGGTAACTGCAATACGACAATTAACAAATTAATGAGATATGATGAGGATAAGGATAATATCAGCACTTTAATCATATATTTCAATTGGAGGAAGAAACTTAAAATGTTTCTACAAATGGATGCAAGTGTTACGTGGTATTCCCGCCTCATACAGATAAATAATGAGCGAAAGTCAGAGGTCAGCGACAAATTTTGATGCATTTGTTTACTCGTTGTACACGCTCGCTTGTTATGATCATCTGTCAGAGAGAGAGGGAAGGGAAGAGAGAGGGAGGAAGAGAAGACGAGGGGTTGAGCACAGATGTTTGGGCGGACGGTGTGACTATATTGTCCATGATACTGGCTGTAAGGGACATGGGGAAGAATATTTACTGTTATTGGTTGAAGTTTCTTGAGACCTAAAAATTTTTCAGAAACTAAAATACCAACTAACCTGGTAGAGTGGATGCATTAAGGCTTGGCTGGTACCCGGTAAAGCCGTTAAGTCCAATGGTGGTAATAAAGCTGGCAGGCCAAGCATCATATTTTGCCAAATCCGTTGAAGTTCCGTCTGAGGTCGCAGCTGCTGAGCCAAGCGTTCGTGTAATGCCAACAAAAACATTTGCTCAGCCTTAGTAAAAAAAAACAACCATACTTATGGAGAAAAACTACCTATTTTCTTCCTGTTCTACAGTTCTCAAAAATTTCAACTTATAGCATACTCCATATTACTTTAATCGGAAAATCTTCGCATTTTGGGAAAGGGCATAAAGGAAAATGAGCTATCACACGCAATCACATTTGGCGGCAAAAATCCAAATTTTGAAAATGTGACAATCCAAAATACTCAGAAAAACGGGAAAAAATAGCAAACTGTATGTTAGGGAAAAACAAAATATCCGCTAACCTGTGCTTGTTCATTGCGTTGCATCGCGCTTAACTCGTGAGCTATGACGTCTTGATTTGAATTAGTGTTGGTTGAGATGTTTGGTGACCCCTGGAAACAGATGGAGTTGTTTAGATCAAGATGAGTTGTTATTGATTGGTCATGCAATATCACATATCACATACAGATCCGTCCATTCTGGTCTTTAAAGAGAGGATACTCTTCTTCCATCCATCCCTTCCTCTCCTCTCTCTTGCCCTAGAAAAGAATGTTTCTTCTCGACTAGATTCATCAAAGCAACTTTACTAATATGCTCTTTTAAAAGATACCGTGAAACTAACAACATTTCCAATATTTTTTTCTAAAATTCAACAATTTGAATTTTCAAAAATTAAACCCTACATCAATTTCCAGCAGCTTGTCTCGTCCCAGCGTACATTCCAATAGCTATAATAATGACTTAATTCTAGAATCCGATAACGATATCACAAATTAATCCCTATAAAGAGAAAAAGTGATGCGTTTTCGCTGTCAGTTGTAAAATAATGCGATGCTTATATGAGAACTCGTCAAAAACTACCAATAGCTTTCATTATGGGAAAGAGGTCTGGTCTGAGGGGCCGCCTTTTCATTTTTTTTTATTGCTAAGTAAAAAACGAACCGATTGTTCCATGGAGAGCGGGCGGGCAGAGATACGGGGATCGAAGGGGGCAGCTGCGCTTTGCACAAACTCACTTGACGAATGCAGCAGCAACAGCAGCAGCACAAGCAGCAGTGCAATAGGCTCACAGGCCTTGTTTACTCCCCTGTTTACCCCTCAACCTCCTCCTCCTCCCCCCGCCGTCTAAATGTAAACAGATGAGTGTTCATGCTACATTGCCATACATCAGACAATCCTCCGTGGTGTATTGGAGAAGGGAAAGGGGATGCAATCCCTACTCCATGTTCATTTCTCCCTTAACTCTCCCGACTCCACCAGTAAAGTAAGCAGTAAGGAGCACCATCATAAGTAATATCTCGTTTTGTGTGCATATGTGCATGCATGTGCAAGTATGTGCATATATATATATATGTGTGTGTATGTGTGTGTATGTGTCTGTCTGTCTGTCTGTCTGTCTGTCCATCCATCTACGTTTTATCCCTTGTCCATTAATACGCCACTAACAAACGTGGCATGCGTGTCTCTTACGTGTATCTTCCAAACACATCCATCAGTCTCGATCTTGCCGCCTCGCCATTACCTCGCACTCTAACCCCAGTTTGTCAACAATCCGTTCATAAGCTGCCCACACAAAAACCCACACACACACACACACACACACACACACACACAC